GCCCCTTAGGGTGGCTCCGGGGCGTTGTATTCGAACATTTTGACCCTAGGAACATATATTTACCTATTTTAAACCTTTTTAACAGATTATACCATCATACGACACTCCCAAACCTGCCCAAAACCTAAGGACACACTAGAACACATTCTTCTCTAGTTTCTGGATGTCGTGGTCGTTTCTTGACGTTTAGACTTTTACTCTTCCGAACCAAGTCAATTACATTAGTTTAGGTTTATAAACATCATTTTAACTATTTTTAAGTCATTATTCATAAGGTGAGGCTCTAACTTAAGTCATAGAATTTTCGGGGTGTTACAAAACCTAACCAATTTAAGGAAATTGGACTGACGAATTTGTGAAATCTTTGAGACTCAATGGGTGAATGGAACCCATTGATGATATACCTACATACCTTAATCTCAATGCCCACAAGCAATTGATGAAGAACCCTAGAAATTCCTTAAGAGCCTTGGAGAGAATCCCTTTGAGAGGACTTTGGTTTGAGGGGAATGAAGGACAATTAGTAAATTTACGACTAAAATCAGTTGTAGGGGTATATTTATAGGGAAAAAGACGTAGTATAGGAATTAGGTGCGTAGAAAAAGACCAAAACACCCTTTTAAATAACTGTCGATCAGCCCTATAGTTGCAACCTACGGACCGTACTGGTCAGCTGTAGGTCAAGTGACTGGGGAGAAAAACTTACGACTCATTTCTACAGACCGTTAAAATTCCTACAGTCCGTAGACTAGCTTTATTTCCAAAATATTTTTTCCCACTTCCTACAAGATTGGTCTATTACCTGTAGAATTTCCTACGAACTGTAGACTGTTCCCGTGGAATTGGACCAGTAGACCTCTTTGGCCTTCTTTCCTTTTATTTCTAGATTCCAGGTGTTACACACTACAATAAATGTGATTATCAAGGACAAATAATTTTGTCATTAATAAATCATATTTCGTCACTAAAAAGCCTATGTGACGAAAAAAATTTCGTCACGCAGTCGTCCCTAAATGTGCGTCTCTAAAATTATTCAAATACTATTTAGTGCTTCGTCCATAAAAGTATTATATTAACTACAAAAATAAGAATCGTCGCCAAATGAATAATTATTTGTAACAAATTTATTTGTCATAAAAAGTATAATTTGTTTGTGGTTAATAGTATCTTTTGTCACTAAAAAGGTTATTATTACCGACAAAATTGTATTGTTGCTAATTAATTAGTTCAAACAGTGACGACATCAATTGTCTCTAAAGTTATATGTATTTCATAGTTGAACAAATGTAATTTCGTCACTAATGACTACTTTTTATATACAAAAATAAATTTGTCCTTAAATGTATAAATTAGGGACAAATTTATTATTCTAAAAAAGGGTAATAATTTTGTGGTTAAATCTATTCATTTTGTCAGTAAAAGTATTGTTTTTACCGACAACAGATATTGTCACTATAAATTATCATGATTAGTGACAATTATAATTGTCATAAAATAAAGAGTTAATTCGTATTCAATAAAAAAGAGGATATTGGGACAAATATATTTTTGTCACTAAATGTAGTCAACTTATGTCAAATTTATTTATTTTGTGACAAAAATATTGTCTTAAAAGCTTGATTTAGTCGTTGCTAAATGATACCTTTAATGACAAAATCTTTTGTCACTAATTGCATTCATTGATGACGTTTAATTATTTTATATTAGTGAAAATTTTTGAAATTATAGAATTGCATAAATTAAAAATTAAATAATAAAACATGCTAGATAATAATGAAATCTGTCCATTACAATTAAAAACAACTAAAATATCTGAAGGTACTTTAACAAGCTCCATGAACTAAAGTAAAATATGTCCAATAACAAGAAAATCTAACTGAAATAGGAGAAATATTACTCCTAAACCAAGACAGAAAAGTAGAAATTTCTTCCAAAGTATCAATAATATGGTGATACTTGTCTTGCATTAGTCTTGATTCAATTCTCACCTTTTATACCTGTGTAAAAGAGAGAAAAGAAATTCATATATATAGTTAATAAAAAGTAGAATCTGTAACACAATATGATTTCTCATATGTTGTAATGTCCTGTTTTATGACCACTGCAACAATAAATCATATAGAATGTGAAGCTATATATTAGCTATACATTTGCTACGATAAAACTCTCTATTTGTTTCAGGGCATAGACTTAACATATTTTAACTATATGAAATGTTTAAGCTTCTAAACTCACATCTCATAATTCAAAGAATGAAAATTTTTATTCTTCTATCTTGTAATAAGATAGACATTCCTGCTGATATCTTTTTGTCCAAACCTGTCGACTACCACATTATCTGGTAATTAACTAGTTGACTTTGCTACAAAGTAACACACCTCCAAGACAACTCTATGGAGTAATATCAACTTTAACAATAACAAGAGTATAACGGGAGTGTGTGACAACACCGGAGCATACAATAGCCCAAAATGAAGGAAAACATGATAACTTTAAAAGGGATCACTGATTGTATGATATGGAATGCAGATGCAGTGGAAAAGTATCTATGAAATATAGCCAACATGCTGATAACCTTTGAGTAAAATGGGTGAAAAGTGTGTATAAAGGGGACTGATTGGTGGGCAATATACACCTAGCAAGACAGTTGTTGGTAATGGATACTGTGAAAATGGATGACTCAAGGCATTAGGGAAATAGGGAACTGCACCAGTGAAACTAGTCTGCTCAAACATGTTGTCATAGTAATCTTACTATTTTTCAGAGAGCCACGTTGAAAGGGCAATCAAAGCATCAGGGAGACCCTCAACGCCTTTTCCTTTAGGAAAATAAGATGGTGCAGGATCGCAGTATGCCAACATGTTATTAAGGACAGACTTGACACAAATTGGAACAAATTTAGCTTCAGTATCTCCTTGTACCTGTTGGTTAATACTGAATTTTCTGACCTAAGCCCATATCTAACAAGGTGGTCTACGATCATTAAATCACTAGAAACAGGAGCAGGCTCTATGTTACCGCTAAACGATAAACCTAGGGGCAAAGTCTCCAAACAAGTCGTAACTTTTCAACAACAGATGCAAAAACATACTCTTTCAAATCAAAGTGGGTAGACTAGGATGAAGTTTAATGTACAGTTGTTCCAAACAAATTCATGAGATAGTTTATTGATCTTCTTTTCTTTTCCATATCATCTGCTTTAAATTTGCTGTGAAGACTTGATGGGATAGAAAAATATATAATGGCTATCAATTATCATACAATAGATCTTTCACTTTGCTGGATCTTTTGTCCAGAGAAATGTAATTAGTCCTATCAAATTTTTAAAATCAAGAATGACTTCGGCAGAAAGAAAAGTTCTTAGTATAAGCTCATTTTACCGTAAATTCCAAACTCTTCAAAAAGTAAAGTTCTTGCTATGACACTCGAACTCTTCAAAAATGTCCGCTCCTCCAAAAGTTGTGCATTTTTGGAAGATTCAATACATCTGTAATAACATTTCTAGAAACTCCGAGCAACATAGGTTCTTAATATAAGATCATCTTACCATAAATTCATTCACCACCATTTGGTATTTACTATATGTACCCATCTTTCAAACAAAACTAAGCAGTACATTAAAGGCAACTCAAAAGAGTCTAAAAAAGAGTTAAAAGATTGTATTTTTGCAGCAGTTTTGATCAACCCATAAGAATAAGATTTTACTTTTTCCTTTTAGATTCATGAAAGAATGAAAAAAAATGGAAGTTAGTAGTAAGTGCGAGAAAGAAGCTATAAGAAGAGAAGGTGAATTAAGGATTCGTTAACAAAAGAAGAGCAAGTCAGACTCAGGATGTTGAAATGAGAGGAAGAAATCAGAATGCTATGCCAATGATATTGGAAATAATGTGTGGCTCCTTCACACTTATACTAGTATGTTTTCTCTTTCTACACTAAAACTACCCTTGTCATATGAGTTTTAAGTTATTTTTCATGTGAGGTTTGAATTAAACCATTTAGCACCAACAGTATTACAACATTAACAAAGATTAACACACAATTTTATTCTATTCTAAATTCTAATCATGATTTTGCTTCCAACAGCTATACTGAATTGTATATCTAGCACTACCAATCATACATCTAAAGGACTACTGCACTACTAGTAGAGTACAAAAGTATTCCAGTAAGCATATGAACAACTTCCTGCCAATTCTATGGCTAAGATATTAGAAACCTTTTGGAATATCTCCCAACTGTAAAACTGTTGGTTCTATGTGCTACTAATTTCCCTAAGAATACAAAGCTTTGCTATCAAGAATTAAGGAAGACCAAATTATATCATCACTAAATGACCAGATACACCCAAAGCAAGGAGTAAGAGACTGAGAAGGATAAGAATTGCAGCTCTACCATATTGATATTCTATTTCCATGATCTGAAAATCTATAAAGTAGTATAAAAGGAGGAATCTTCTCTTTATCTCTACTTAGCTACTTGCAATGTTTCCCCTCTATAAGGTATGATAGCCTTTTCTACACTATGTCCAGTAAGATTAGGACGCACCTAGGGCGTAAAGTATATGGCATGTTCACTACTAACTTTTTTTTCTTGAGCTAAGGTATTAACGTATTAATATGATATAAATAAAATAATTGATATAAACTATAACTTTTGAAACTGGACTTTACGTTGGTGAAATAAAAATATACCTAAAGTTGGCATTCTCATGGAGCTCCGTCTCTGTTGCATCATAAAAGAAAGTATGCAAAGTTAGATACTAATGCTACATATTTATATATTTCATAAAAAAAGTAAGCAAAAATTATCACATAAGTTTGTATTACTTCTAACCTGTTAGAAGGCGATGAGCGAGCAAAACACTGCATTTTCCTAAACATTTCCTCTTGGCGTGCCACAATAGTATTCAATTGAGAGTTTAATGCTTCTATTTGAGACTGCTGGTCTTGTATTTGAGTCTGCTGGTTTTCTACCACAGTTTCAGCGGCATTTAATCGATTCTATAAATTATTTTGGGCACTAGCAACTTCCTGTTTCGCTTTTCTGAGGGAGTCCTCTAACTCTGCCGTTTTCCTTTGTGTAGCTCTTGTAGTATTAGGTTTTGGACCATAACCAAGTCCTCTTATGTACCCCGACTTTGTACCAAGTAAGGTATCCACAATTTCATCAGTAGTCATGGAAGCCTCTCCCGAAGTATATAGATCTTTCAAATCTTTCATATTGTTCTGTATAAAAATATAAATACTATTTAAAGGAGAAGACACAACTTCAGAAGAACATTAATCGAACAAACGCGTTGGATAACCATCCTTACATAGTTAGTCTCAGCCTCTAAAGATGACCATCCTTTCTTACTCTTGTAATGAGTATGCTTGTAGAACTCGATTCTGTCAGGCTCTACTTTTTCAGGTTCATTTTCACCCTGTGAAATAAGAAAAACAATTGAAATAGTACTGAAGTTTTATTAGTAAAAGAAATAAAAACAGTCTAACTTACAAGTTCAGCACGAGCCGCTACAAATGCTTTTGATCCCATGAAATGATTAGATTTAAGCTTAGTTCGATTGACCTTGTTTATGTCGCATCGTTTCTACAAAGAAAATATAAATATCATAACTTTAATAATAACGAGAATAACATGAATTTAAATTACCTTATGTTTTGGATCAATCCACATGTCACAAAGTCTATTCCAATTTTCTGGGGTCAACTCTGGCACTTCAATTTTACGAGCTTCTTCCTCTGAGTGTGCACTTTCAAACAATTGTTTTAACTTGTAGCGCCATTGTCGGCTTCTGTTTTTCAGAATATCCTCACAGCTATCTTTCACGTAATGCTCGTCCAAATTAATCTCAAACCTCTCCTAATTATTATTTTTTTGAAGAAACATACAAAACGATCAAAATCCCTTTCATATTAAAATAATAATCATCAAAGCTACTAACATACTAGATAGCTTCAAAGTGAAGTTTCCTTAGAAAGGCATAGATTGCAGTTCAAAAAAATTCTTTGCACTGATAAACATTGCTCTTAACAGCCTATCTACATACCTAAAGTTATTATTTCCTATTCCCAGCGAGGTAATGTTACAATTTGATAAGTTAAGGAGAGACTTTCTATGAAAAGGAAATAGAAAAAATCAAAAATTTCATCATATATGTGGGCTCCACATCACTCTTTCTGAATATCTTGGAAGCTTAGGTATCAGAAACATAGCAGGACATAATAGAGCCCTTCTAATGAAACAGCTATGGAGGTTCAATAATGAAGACGGGTGCTCTCTGGAAAGAAGTGGTTTTTGCAAAACCTATAATACTATCACATTGGTCCACTAATGTATTCATATCTCCATATGGTGTTGGTCCATAGAAGAGCATAGCAAAGCTATGGGATATTTATTAACCAGCAATGCAGCTACAAAAGAAGATAATGACATTCACATTAAAATGGTGTAAACAGAACTGTATAGAGGAAGTAGAGGAGTTGGTTGATTTCCTAGGTACTTTGTAAAGTTTAGATTTGAATCTCACTCCCCTGTAACATGTTTTTGGTGGTTGCCAGCAGTCCTAATGCTGAAGAATACAATAGTACTAATCCTCAAAAAAAAAATTGGAAGGAAAAATGGTCAGTCAAGGAACACTATTCTACAAAGTAACTTTCCTACTCTCTTCTTAATAGCCTCTAATTCAGGCACTATTATCTCCCAGAACAGAAAAAATAATGCCAGGGCACCATTGTTCAAAATTGAATTTCCAAGACCGGGAACTAGATAGTTTGCTACAATTACTATCCAATCTGGATTGTTGCTGCCTTAATGATCACAACCCATATAGAATCCAATGGGATATGATGACAAATGGACAATACACAATGAAAGAATGGTACTCGTTATGATGTGCTCACAATTATATGATAAAGAAGTGGTCTTAGAAGCTTCTTTGGCATACCAAAGCCCCTCCCAAGGTCAATATGTCATCTCATGAGGGCAGTGTCACTCAGGAAAACCTTAGGAGAAGGGGCATGACAAAAGTCGATAGATACTTTACGTGCCAACAAGCTTCTGAGACTAACAGACTGTTGATTTTTTAAATTTATTTGTTGCTATTTTTTATTTTAGCTGGGTCATGACTGCTAGTTTAAGGATGCCTACATTAGTTGAAACTCTTGGAAAGTTGATAAATCCATCAAAAAAGTTTGAAAAATGATTCCTACTTGTATTTTTTGGTGTGTGTGGAAGGACAGAAACAGAAGGTGCTTTGATGGAATATCAACTTCAATATTTTAACTTAATATAGTTTATCCCCCTTAGACTCTTATGTCAATCTTTTGGACTTTGTAAAGTCTTTAGTCATTCCATGCATAGGAGAATTATAAATGAAACTAAATATAATCACAACCATGTATAAATTTATAAGAGTGTAGAATTCTTACATGACATCTAATTAGTGCTGCATCTCTGTCCTCTCTTGTGAGTTCCTTCCACTTGTTTGGAAGCGAAATAAAATTTCGAGCAATTATCCCCAACTCATTGGATAATTTTGCCGATTGAACTGGTTTAGTTGGCCTTCCTTTACCAACTGGGATATCTATTTTCATCTTACTTCTCATAGCCTTCTTCATTTTTTCAAGACCTTTACCTCTAGTCTTGCCACGACCATTCTTGATTCTAGTAGAAGCATCTGATGAAAAAAATTGAAGACAGTTCAAAGTACCACCTAAAATCTAAAAAATATTACACGTATGGAAGAAAGGTATGAAGACTGAAACAACTAAATTTTTTGCTTTTTTGTTGTATATAAACAGACAGTTAAGTCAAAAAAATTCATTGACTAAAACAAAGAGAATATACAAGAGCTAATACCATTTTTTTTATCATTCATATCATGTCTGTTGATTATAAAAGCTTCACATATTACATAAATATCATTGAGTTCCAAAGGTGTAGATCACAATACCTATCCATTTAGTAAAATGTTCAACTTGGCCAATAACTAAATAATTTAATCCTAATCAATATAATAAAATGTATTACCTGTATTAACAAGAGGAGCAGGGTTATTTAATTCATCCAGTGATTGAGTATCTGGAATAGTTTCCCCTGTAAGTGTAGTTTGCTTAAAGACAAGTCCACCTGGTGCCATTGATTGGCAGAACACTATCAAAACACAATAAGTAATTTTAGAATGTCCATAAGACATAAAATCCATTAGTTTAACAAAATTAGTTAATATAAAAGCACCAACCGTTGACAACTAAAGAAAAATCTAAAAATTTCATAAATCATCAATCTGAAAAGTCTCACTCACATTATTTATTAATAAGATTTCACTGTTCTTTCTAATAATAATTGAACTATTGAAGCATCACTAGCATATAAATGAAAAAAGTCCTTTGGATCGGCAGGCTACGACTATGATCACTATCTTTCTATGCAAAAAGTATGCCATAACTTGGGAGCACCAAAATGACTCTTTATATTTAGAGTAGCAGCGTTAGAAAGATTGGCTACAAGGGACAAACTTGATAGATGGGGATTCACATAACTTTGGAATGTCCTTTATGTGCTACTACTTTGGATAGTATTAGCCACTTCTATTTTGAATGACTTTGTTGCTATGTTGGTGTTGACCTTGAAAGAACTCATCCGTAATCCTGAAGACTTGCAACAAGAACTTGCTTGGATGACTACAAAGGAAAGGAAGAGCCCAAATGCAGTAATCTTCATAATGATAGTTGTTAGATGTGTATACCACATTTGGAAGGAAAAAAACTTGAGGGTATTCCAAGAAAGAGCTAGAGGCGCAACACTGGTATCAAGACTATCATACAAGAGGTTTGTCAAAGAGGGCATCTAAATGCAAGTGTGGAAAGAAGGCTATGAACTCTGAACTTTTACCCTGTGTATTCGCACATAACAGAGATCTTTAGTTAGGCTGAAGTAAGATATTGTTGTTGATGAACTTATAGATTTATTTCCTTTTCAAATTTTGTAATTCCTACTGGTAATAAATAAAACTATTTTTTTACCAAAAAAAAACTAGCAGATTAAAGAACTAGTATAACATATATAAGATATATATATATGTGTGTGTGTGTGCAGGAAATGTCCAAATTTAAAGGCACAATAACTTTTCTGAGAACTTATATAAGCTAAGGTGTTAAGAAGAGGTTGTAGATCTTATAAATACCAAGCCCCGTGAAGAAATGTCTATTAGTTTCAGTAAAAAAATTAATTGTCCCACAAAATATTCATCTAAAATGATTTTGGTTTAGTTCTTTCAAATCCAAGGTTTCATTTCATATCCTAATTCTACATTCCAAGTTCAAGAAGCAAGTTTCACTTTATAGACTTACATACCATGTTTTCACTACAATCTATCCTCTCTTCCCTAAAAAATCGAGGGAAAACATCAATATATGAACAAAACAGAGAATTTGTTTCAATATAGGCCTTGAAAAATGTTATGCTTCAATAGTATGTGTCACACACCAATAGTAAATATGCACACCACACAAAATGTAATATACACAGTAATTAGGGTGTTTCTAATTCAGAAACTTATAATTGACTTTTTTATCTTCTGATTGATTGTCGGACACAATAGTAAAGCAATATCAATGTATATGAAACAAATAATCAATGAACAAATATTCTGCGGCATATAACTATCTGTTTAATTTTGTTCAAACATAAAATAGGTGGACTGATACATACCTCGTCTTCTTGTTCAGGTTCAAAAATTTTGCTTCACTTTGCAAAGATAAAACTTTTTCGTCTGTTTTCTCATATATATAGTGGTTGTCCTGAAATTGCTTTGGAGCCAAAAAACTAAAAAAGTTAAGTGCCAAAAGACAGTTTCTTTTTCCATTTTTCTGGTTTCTGGAGGAGGAAGTAGTGCTACCTATTAACCCAGAATCTTAGGAAGTGGAGAAGTGGGTGATCAATTTTCTTTTAAATCTAATATTTATCTCTACTTTCATCTAATATTTAAAAAATAAAATTGCACACACAAATGGCATAAATATCCATATTATTTCAGAAAATAAAATTGCACAGAAAAATGTCCAACAATTTTATTTCTAAAAAAAAATATTGAAGACATAAAGAAACATAAATTTGGTGTCTTACATATTGGGTCAATAGTTTCACCTCCTTCAGCTGAAACTCAAAACCCTGGATCTTGTATATGCATGAGCATGAAAATGTTTGTCTTCCATGTTGCAAGATTGTTGGTTCCATTTGCTTTTGCATCTTGTATCGAAATAGATCTGAAAGAGAAGTCTCAAATAGACCAAGGTTACTAGCCTTTTTTATCTTAAAGTTTTCGATCCATAAATCTAGTTACCATAGATTGAAGGTGTTAAAAAGCCCAAAAATATCAGTTCGACATAGATGCCATTGATGTAGAAAACTATTCTGGTTCTCGTCTCCTCCACAAATGACATGCTTGCTAGTATGCTTCATATCAAATATGCTTTTAGAAAATTGTGAAAGGCAGTAGTAATGGAAAAAAAGGTGCCAAATTCTTTATAACATTGTAGACACAGGAAAACCCCTTTTAAGAGTTTTTGGGGTTCAATACAGAACTATTATTAAGCTTGACAAAGATACATCGAGATGGCTTTACCTGAATGCTCTTGAGGTTACAACATCAGGAGTTGTCTGAATGCATGATGAGAAAGCTAGTCTTAGCTGAATGTTCTTGAGGCAGTGACTTCTTTTGGGGAGAAGAAAGGAGATGAAGAGGTTTTTGACCTAGGGTATATTTTGATAATATACTTTTGAGCCTATATTTGGTATATCTGTAGAATAATTAATTCTTTTGTCCATTTCAAAATAAACAAATAAACTAATTTAAGGATGATTTTATCAATATTTCTATTTTAATTTGTTTATTCTATTTTAATTTAACAGAGGGTTTTAAAATATTTCTATAAAAACTTGAGAAACTGAATTAAATTTTTAAAAAGTGATTGGAACTTTCATGAAGAATATAGGAGTTAGATGTCCACCAGAGGTTTCGTGTCTTGTTTTCCTTTGTATATAATAATAATAATAATAAATATATTATTATTATTATAATAATAATAAATAAAAGAAAAAATAAGTTTATATTATTAATATCAACATTTTGATGGAGGTGGTAGTTTTCTAGTGGTTAAATAAGGAATTACACGGAGGGGAAAAAAATGAATGTAATTTGAAAAATTATATTTAAACATAAAACAAGACTTTTAAAATTTATGGTCCGAAATTAAAAATATATCAAATATTTCAAAATATTTTTAATCTTTTGATCTTAAACATTTCATTTGACAAGTTGAAATTAAAGAGTTGTTAACAAAGGGGGGAAATATTATTTTTTAAAACGAAATAAAAAGAAAAGTAGTTAAACAAATTGAAATGATGGGAGTTATTTTGAGTCTAATTTAAGAGTTTTTTAATAAATACTTTTAAATTATGTAAAAATAAATAACCAAATTTTAAAATAATTTGTAATTAAAAAGTTATAAACAAAATTTTCTTTAAAGAGTAAAATAATATATATATATATATATATATATATATAAACGAAATAAAAAGAAAAGTAGTATAAACAAATTGAAATGATGGGAGTAATTTATTTTTTAGTCTAATTTAATAGTTTTTTAATAAATACTTTTAAAATTATGTAAAAATAAATAGGGAAAATGACAAATAAATCTCCAAACTATTGTAAATGGTATGCAAATACCCTCCGTCATACTTTAGGAACATTGGTGCTCCTGTCATCCAAAAACTAGAGCATATATGTCCTTCACTCTAACAAAAGACTAAATAGGGACACGTGACACAATCTTATCCGTCGATCCAATATTTAATAAATGTCGGTCGGTGGATAAGATTATGACAAGTGTATGTCTGTTAGTATAAAGGGTATATATGCTTTAGTTTTTGGACGACAGGGGCACCAATGTACCAAAAGTATGACGGAGGGTATTTGCATACCATTTACAATAGTTCGTAGATATATTTGTCATTTTTCCGTATTTATTTTTACATAATTTTAAAAGTATATATTAAAAAAACTCTTAAATTAGACTAAAAATGATGGTACCATTCATATAACATAGTTGATTTATACATGAACTCCATTCCGGCATAATAAATACAAATAGAATCATAGGAAAAATATCTACTCATGAAAAAAAAATATTATTAATTTGATAAATTGAATTGTGTTATAAATCCACTGAAAAGTGGATTGTCCATTGAACTTATTCATGAACTTATACTTACTTTCATGTATGTGTATTCTCTAGGTGACATGAACCTTTTTGGATTCAACATGGTAACCTTTGGATTAATTTCTCATTCACCATTGTAAGATACACCTAAATAGAAAAAAAGTTCTCTGCTTCCTCTACTTATAGGAAGAATTTTGTACTTTATGCATTTATTTTATGAAATGACAAGTATTATGAACCAATTATTTAAAAATAGGATGACATAAAAAAAATGAACAGAATGAGTATTTTTCTTGCATGTATCCTCTTCATATCCATAATCATTATATAGTTAATTGTTCCATAAAATATATTCCCTCTATTTCAATTTTTCTGACACATTTCAGTTTTCGAAATTCAAACAACTCTATCTTTGAATGTAAATTTTTCATATGTCTTTTAAATATTTTGAATTGTCAATTATTGTGTCTCGTAATACTTTTTAAGGTGTTTACAAATATATAAATTTTCATTTTAAATTATTTGAAGATTTCATGAGTAAATTATCTGTCAAACTTAAATTGTTTTGACTCTAAATGTGTTACATAAATTGAAACAGAAAAAATAGTAAAATTTTGCACAATAGTACAAAGGGTTGACATTTAAAGAGTCATAAGTACTCACCATATAAGAAATGCATTTACACCTAAAAATTGATAAATCTATTTTGACTACTATAGTTATATCTCAAATTAAATCACACCTATTTTGTGGTCACATAAAAAATCAATTATCTACATAAAGTAAATTATTTTTGCAATATTATCTTTATCGCTAGAAAGCTATATAAAAATATTAGTTATTAAATTTAAAATTTTAAAATAAAATTAATAAATTAAATATCACTTATTTTATTTCAATATATTTGACATGT